TGTCGGAGTCTGGTGGCAGCTCCAACGGCTCCTGCTGGGCCACAACATGTATGTATATATAATTAAAATAAAAGGGCTTGCTCTGAGATTGGAACATTCTCAGTATGTATGTATACACACACACACACACACACGCACGCACACACACACACACACACACCTCTCTTACTGATCAGCTTCTATCAGTTTTTGTTGATGATTTATGTTACAATTCATTATCTTGAGAGTTGCTGACAAAACCAAGAGGCTGCAAAGAGTGATAGAAGAGATTGGGTGTGTCACAATATATGATGATTTATTGTCATAAGTGATCCAGCTTCCTGCTGGGCTTCACGTGCCCCATGTTACCTTTTGCACAAACATCTGCTAGGAGTAGATTGCAAACATTCATATTCAGTTTTGATTAACTGCATTATATTGTTGTACCTGAACTTTAAAAATGTGCTAACCTTTACTTGGTTTGGAGGTTAGTTATTTCAAGTAAACCACGGTGATTTAAAGCAATTTCCCTTCGGAATCAATTCCAGGGATTGAGAATTGGAGGCACTGTTTTCCAGTTTTCTTCCTTTACACAATTATATCTTTCAGTCCCAGACTGGCAGAGTGAAGCTATCAAAGTTCGGCCCCAGGGACTGATGGCTATGCAGGCCGGGATGGGGATGGAACATCAAGTACCAAGTGGCTATGGTTGTAGTAACCATAGTAGTAAAAGGTAGTAACAGTGGTCAGGAAGGCCTTTAGACAGCTTCACTTGGTGCAACAGCTGCATCCTTTCCTCGTTTAGGAGGCCCTTCAAACTTGATCACTCATGCTCTAGTCCAGGGGCGTCAAACTCACATCATCACAGCAGCATCATGTGACGTGTCGGGGCTCCCCCCCCCCTTCGCTAAACTGGGCATGGGTGTGGCCAGGGATGCATCTGGCCCATGGGCCAGGAATTTGACAGCTCTGCTCTAGTCACTCACACCTTGTCTATTGCAAAGCAGCATATGTAGAGATGCCTTTGACAAACGCTTGGAAGTTTCATCTGGTTCAAAATCCAGCCACAAAGCATCACTGCTCTCTGTGCATTAATTACATGCCTAGTTCTGGATGTAATTCAAGGTGCTGATTATGACCTTGAAAACCTGATACTCAACTTAGGACCACAATTGATGCCCAAATTTCTGTTGCTAAGCAAGATAGTTGTTAAGTGAATTTTACCATATTTTACAATCTTTCTTGCCACTGTTGTTAAGTGAATAGATATACTTGTTAAGTTAGTAAGATGGTTGTTAAGTGAATCTGGCTTTCCCGTTATTTGACAGGAGGTTGCAAAATGTGATCACGTGATCCCAGGACGATGCAACCGTCATAAATACATGCCAGTTACCAAATGTCCAAATTTTGATCAGGTGACCATAAGGGAGTCTTACATTCATGAAATGTACCCTGGAAGACCTGATTTTGAGGGGGTGGGGAGAGTGTTATTCTTAAAATGTGACCAGTAATTTTGAAGATGTTGGATACAGTCCTGTATGCATGCAAATTGCATGTGTGAAGCAGAACCACTGGAAAAAAATCCAATGGATTAGCAGACAGAAACTGGTGCCATGATAAAAATGTCATAATGTGCTTCTTTTGCCATGTGATTTCTTTTTTTTTTTTTTTTACAAAACTGGTTCTGTAAAGGAATTCTCAAATGATTTTGGAAATATATTGTTATGCATATTTCTGACCTGGAAGAATGATCATGCATGATGTCATTTGCTTCATATATCACACTAAATTGAATTTGATGGTTTTCTTGCCACAACTATCTATGAACAAGGAAAGTTTTTAATCTGATTTTAGCATATTTCATTAATTCTTTTTATACTTATGCTACTGCAGCCAAAACTTCTGGAACAAATCCTGAGCCTTGAGGACAACCGGCTTCTTGCATATCTGAAGTCGTGTTCAGCAATGGGCCAGCTTCCTTATAATCTTTGGTTTAGAAAGTGTTTTGCTGGATGCCTACCTGAATCAAGTTTACAAAGGCAAGTTTCTCTCCCTTCCACCTCTCCTACACTGGAAAACCTAAGTCCCTGTAGTCTCCAGTGGAGAATATGTCCATGAATCACATAGACATGATGTTTTGACAGTCAATTATATTACCAGCATTCTGAAAAATGACAATTTGTCAGCTTTTCTAGGAGTTGTTCAGCTTTCCTAGGGCTTCACCAAATTTTAATTACAAAGGCAATATAATGATAATGTAAATTGTATATTGTAAAATTAGCAATTTTATGACGGTCTCGTTGAATTTTCTAGGGTTTGGGACAAGGTTATTAGCGGTTCTTGCAAAATCCTTGTCTTTGTTGCTGTTGAGATCTTATTAACCTTTAAAATGAAGTTGATGGCCTTGACTAGTGCTGAAATTGAACAGTTGTTGGAAAATGTAAGTATTTCATACATTCCAGCTTCTTAGAAAACAGTGCTTTAATCAAATTCAATAGTATTTTGAAGACACATTCAAACACATTCAAGACTGCACTGTAAAATACCTCTGTATTTCAAGCTATGTTTTTATCTTTCATAGATACCTCAAGATAATACTGATGCAATTGTGAGCAAGGCTATTGAACTGTGGCACAAACATTGTGGAACCCCTGCTCATTCAGTTTGAAATTACCTGCATTTGTTTTTGCTTTATCTCTGTTTCCTTCTCCGAAATATATAATTAATTTAAATATTGTGGGTACAGTGGTGTGGGTATTGTGATGTGTCCCTCCTGTTGCAGAGAGTTGAAATCTATAATATGACAACTCCTAGCAGTCAAGTCCCAGTCAACATTGTGAATGGTGAAGGATTCCGAAAGTTGTAGTTCATCAACATTTGGAAAGTCACAGATTTCCTGTCAGAAATATTTGTTATCACATACTTTTTAGGAAGAGGCTAACTGGGAGAAGAAAAATGTCAAGCAAAGATAAATAAATGCTGCTCTTTTTCTCTACTTCTTTTATTTTGATCAAAGCATTATGAAAGGAAGGTTTTGATCAACTTAATATAGTGTTCATTCATTCTCACCTCACTGGTGGCACAGTAGTTAGAATGCAGTACTGCAGGCTATTTCTGCTGACTGCCGGTTGCCAGCATTTCGGCAGTTTGATTCTCACTGGCTCAAGGTCGACTCAGCCTTCCATCTTTCTGAGGTGGGTAAAATGAGGACCCAGATTGTTGGGGCAATAGGCTGAGTCTGTAAACCGCTTAGAGAGGGCTGTAAAGTACTGTGAAGCGGTATACAAATCTAAGTGTGATTGCTATTTATTGAGGTATTCAACTAAACAAGCTCTTTTTTATCATTCAGATTCCTCTAGATTTAAAGAAAGTATGTGGGCCGTAACAGTTCAACAGCACAATCTTCTACCCTTAGTAAAACAGGAAGCTCTGTTTTAAACTAATTGAAATAAATTGGCTGAAGTTCTTTTATACATCTCAGTTTCTGTACAAAACAAAGATAATGTGCAAATCACTAAATGTACAAAAAGGGAGTCGATAGCTGTTGGTGTTAGAAAAAAGTCCAGTTAAATTGCTTTGGATTGTTTTTTCATGGTTGGCACACTATAATAAATTATAAACTAACCAGATAGGATAGGTTTGCACAACATTGCTAAGCCATGAAACAAATCAAGGTTAAAATTAAACATTATATGAGTGCATTTTTTTAGAACTTTATCTGACCTGGTTAAATATTCTTGGGTGAAGATAGATCTTTGTGTTGGCGCTTCCAGATCGTGATTCTCCACTGGGATGGCTGGAACTCCCGATCATGGTTTTCATTCAACCATTCATTCAGTTAGTGCCATCATTACTTGGAATAGCCACTGGCTGAACGGTTATACATTGAGAACAGTAGTGGGTTCCGGATCCCGGTGCAACCGGTAGGGTGTAACGGGGCCGTGCGCCCACCACATGCACCCGCGCAGTGCGTGCATGCGTACTTACCTCTTGCAATGCTCTAGCTGTTCGGCAGAGCAGGCGCCGCTCCATGTGCGGAAGCCCTGATCGACTCAAATAAAGGTAAGAAGGGTGGGCGGGCCCTCCAGAGCACCGTACCGGAACGGTACCTGTTGCTCCCAGCAGGCTCCGGTATGCCCGTACCGGTCATATCCCACCACTGATTGAAAACCTGTAAACTCTATTTGGGATTTAACACCAATCTTTACACTATTTTAATGAACATACCTTTTCCTTCTGCTATATTAATTTAATAATTGGAAATCTGTCTAGTTTGTACAGATATTTTGCGGAATGTTCTCTGAATTAGATCACTGCCCATCTTCTGGTCTATTGTATTTTAGATTTTTCTTTCTTAAACTAATTTGTAAGTTGCTGTATGACCATGATCTGGACAGCTCTGTAATTACCTTCCAGTTTGAATGTCTATCTTTTCATACTACATTTCAAAATAGGTTTTGTCCTTACATTTTCTGTGTTTAATAAAGTTTGATTCTATATGTATATATCCTGTGGAATTGGTTTTCTCTCAAACGGAGAAAAAGGGTTGAATCTTGTAGCCACAATTGCTCTACTAGAGAAGCAACTTAGAATGAGGGGGAATTTCCTGACACAACAATTAATCAGTGGAACAGCTTCCCTCCAAAAGTTGTGAATGTCCCAACACTGGAAGTCTTTAAGATGTTGGATAGCCATTTGGACTAGAAGACCTCCAAGGTCCCTTCCGACTCTGCTATTGTATTGTATTGTATACTATCCTATGCCGCAAGGAAAGGGCATTATATAAATTATTTGAACTTTTTTATTTCGATAAAGGCAGCATTGGAAGTGACTGCATTTTTCCTCTCATGCCAAGACTAAACGTATACCAAATGAGGTAATTATCCCTTATCCCACCCCAGAAGATGGATTCTGGCAGCAGAAATTACCAAGCTGCTAAATCAACAGAGGAAATGGGATCGGAGTTTGAATATCAGATATAGCAATAGCACTTAGATATATAGGCTTTACAGCTCTGTCTAAGCAGTTTACAGAGTTAGCATATTGCTCCCAACAATCTGGGTCCTCGTCCTTAACCGTCCTTGGAAGAATGGAAAGCTGAGTCAGTTGGAATTGAACTCCTAGCAGTGGGCAGAGTGAGCCTGCAATACTACATTCTAACCACTGCACCACAATGGATCCACTAATCCTCTGGTCATCAGCAATTCCTAATAGAGTGGATTCATTTTTATTATTTGAAATAAATGTATTGCCTTTCCATTCATATGTTTAAAATGCAGACTACTTTTATGATTACAGTAACATTGACTGTGAGCAACAAATGACTTCTCGTAATGGCTTGATCCCTTCTTCAAATTTTATTTTGTTCCACAGCAGTGCAAGAATCCTCACTGTGTCAAGCGTGAAATGCTATTTAAAAATAAGGTGCCAGACTAGTGAAATTCAAATCTTTCTTCAGAGGCAGGCTGTTCTCTTTAATGTTCTGCAAAGGTTTTCACCTGAACAAACCTATTTTAGATTAGTGTAGAAAGAGCTCTCATAAGTTTTTTTTACACAATGTTCAGAAGTCAAATATTACCATGTGAATGTTAAGAGGAAAACTCATCACTGAGTTTTGCATACAAAGATGAAGGATGGAACGGCTTGCTTCGTGGAGTGTAATTAATTCAGTGATGCCCTCTTCAATCAATAACTGTCCAGGGCTAAGAGAAAGTACTAAAAGAAAACACTTGGCAGAATTTGACAAAATAATCGCTGCAATTTTTTTTCTGTTGAATTAAAACCATAGCTATGATTTCTGAAGAACTGGAAACAATGAGAAAACCCCCACTAAAATGTAAAGAAGGCAAATGGGATTTGCTTAATCTCCAAAACCAATGACCAAATCGGTTGATGGGTTTTGGAGCCACCATAAAGGCCTCCAGGGAGTCCATAAACCGGACATCAAGACAACTGGTAGCATTCTACGTAGGTGGACAAGATGCAGTTCTTCAAAGGACGGGGAAAACTTCCCCGGAGCTTCGTTTGATCCTCTGATATAAGTATTGCTCTCTCTGCGGCTTAGTTTTTGACTCCTGGGTGTCTCTGAACATGTAACAGACAGAAGAAAGAAAACCAAAACATTTTTTCTTTGAAACTTTTTTTTAAAGAAACTGCATACATCCAAGACAATTTAAATACCATGCAGTTTCAGTATATACAAATTGAAACTCTAGATGTAGAGATTCACTTTAGTGTTTTTTTCTAGATATTTACATTTTATCATCATCGTTTTCCATACAGCCATAATCTGTTAAATTACAATACTGGAAGATCACAGTCTCGACTGTCACCACATTCACTCCTATACAAAGACAAAACTATGTACATTCATTTTGACGGGAAAAGGACCTGGGAAATGTACCGGTTTCAGAATAACTTGGGAGAGCAACTGGAATCCTCATTTCTAGTCCTGCAACCATTAAGTTAAGCTGCCTAATCAAGTTCTATGCGGGACTGACATGCAGCCCTGTGTGCCTTTTGCAAGATTTACAATCCTTGTTCTTTCATAGAGATTAAGTGGGGGGAATGCTTCCTCCAAGAGTAGAAAATAGATGTCTGAAAGCTTCATGTGGACAACAGAGGCTTAGAAATAAACTGAATATGCTAGGAAAAAGACTGCCTCTCTCCATTTAAACAAAATACATCCTACTCAAGCCCTGGTGAAATGAATGGGAGTAGGGCAACAACAATAGCTTGTTTTTATCCATAGATTTTACTGGTGAAAATAGTTAAATTTGGCATAGCAGTGGCGTATAACTCTATGTTTCAGCTGACTCTGTAGGAGAAACAGCTGACTGTGCTTTAGAAAGAATAAACACCATTTGGTCTTCAAAAATAAGCTATTTTTCACCAAAGAGCTTTAGGGAATAATCAAGTTATTTAAACATTGAGTGGGTGGGACCTCAGCTGATAACTTTTGACTTTTTGAAAACGGATAGTTTTGTCCAATTCAACAATTTGCTTGTATGGATGGTAAGGATTGGAATAAAATATTTTGCACACAAAAACCTGAAAAGATTTGTATGCAGAAAGCAAAACAACCCTCCATTTTGATAAGCTACACCATACAGTTCCATTGTATGAATTAGTTATGCCCCATTTCTTGATTCCACCCATACACCTGCATAAAAAAAATATCGAGTTACTATTCCTTGGGTCTTCTAACATGGACAAAAATGCTTTCACTTTTATGGAAGATGATTCAAGAGAAGGAATGGCAGTACCTGGGGGCAGAGTGAAAAGGGGGCTCAGCCTAGAATCCCTACACAGTTCAAATGAACTAAGTCCATTGACCCTCATCTAACTAACGTAATGGTGCTGACCATTAGTGGAGAAGATTCTTATGCATGGGCTTTTAGCAGTTCAATCCAACCTTCATGTATGGTCCTGGTCTTTTACTCCTCATAGGTAAAGAGACAGGAACTACCTGGATTATCAGCAAAGTGAAATTAAAGTCATCTGGAAATTCAGATGTGCAGAGAGGATCAGTTCTGTAACCCATTAATTCTTCTCAGGAAGAAAGAAAGAAAAAGATAATCCGTGGTGGTGGTAAGAATAAGTCTTTGAACAATGGGGAGGAGCTTCACTCAAGGATTGGTGGACTGTAAAGCTGGTATGGTGGGCAAGCAGGTCTCCATTATTTCATAATGCTATGAAACTATGACAGATGAAAACTGGCTATGTTAAAATGAGTGTTTTCAAGGTGTAAAAAAAAACAGTTTATCTGCTATAGATTTGCTCTGTGCAAACCAGGCAAATAAATTAACATTTTCACTACCATCCCATCTCCACAGTCCTAGCGGTTCACCCAGCCTACTTCATCTGCTGACCACTGGTGGTGTCGTAATCTCTTTATTTTTTTTTTGCATTTTTTAAATAAAAAAAACCAATACATGTACTTTTATCTAAAAACAAAGTACTCTATTATTTCATCTCCTTTTTTTTCTTATACCCAGAGTAACATAACTAGACAAAACCAATCTGTGTAAGAAAAAATGGATTTTCTTAGTCTAGCTTAATCACATATTCAGTGAGGATTGTAATGGGCACTACGGTGACCCAGGTTTTAGTTTGGAGAAGAACCTGAATCATTGCAGTCACCCATTAAAATGTGCTTCCATATACATGTTTTCTCAAAGAAAATTGATCAATCCAACCACTCTTTTGATTTAATCCTAAATAGATGAAGCCCACTGAAATCACCTGAACTTAAGTAGCCCTCACTTTAGAGGAGACCCCACTGAAACAGTACTTAAGTTATTGTCTATTTAAGACCTATTCAGTATAACAGTCTCCTCTAAGTACAACCACATTTAGATCTCAGATTATAATCTTACACCAGCGAAGGTCTGAGAATTAAAGCTGCCATATCTATAGTGATTTGCATGGATGGGCAAAACGTTCAAGATGGCAACGTTTCAACCTAAAAGGCATAGTCAGAGATGTTTAATCTGAACTAGATGTAGATCTTAGTAGACATCACCAAAGTGTTTTGATACAGTGGCTTCATAATCCTTTCCAATGTGCAAAGGTATTCTTATTAAAAGAAGACCAATATCTTAAACGTGAAATAATATCATAAAATAAACTATAAAATATGATGATAAATAATAACAATAGCACATCTCTAGCCTTTTGCCAAATGCTTTGTTTCTCAATTTAAGACTGAGCCATTCACAACAGCATATTTAGTTATTTATACCAAGAAGCACTTTGAAGAATAGAAATCCCTCCTGTTAAAAGAAGAAAACAAAAATCAACATCCAAGCATACAGCATAATTAGTGTTCTCTTTAACTCGTGCCTTTTCTGTCCTGCACATTAGTGAATTGGAAAAACCTATGTAAAGCTGACAGGCCACGCCAGGACACGCTAGGCTATCGAACTGCTACACAGGACCATATGAAACATGAAATAGCCAGCAGGGCAGAAGGCAGTGTGACACGTTCCACTGTAGAAAATAAGCGTGCGATGACAAAGTTCTCCAATCTTGAACTCTTCCAAAACATTGCAGCAAAAGAATCATTTGAAGAAGAGAAATGGAGGGTGGAGAATCTTTCTTGGTCCTGTAGAAATCGAAGAGTAGCCCACCAGTCAGCCGAAGATCTTCCCGGGGTGGTGGGGTTTGGAAAGTCAAAGAGAGATGGATCCATTCCATTTCCCCAGCTCACCCCATCTAAGGTGCTCCACACAGAATGAAATGTTTGGTAGAAACGTTGTTCCAGAACAGTGACTTTGTGTCCAGCAGAACTTCTGTCAGTGCCAAATACCAAGGGCCTCAGCTTCCTTCAGAGATGAAAGAGGACTGACGGGATCGAAAAACAAAGACCACTAATGTGAACAAATGGCTTGGGGGCTCCATACAGCAGCATTTAAAATATAAGTGTGCCAACTCCAGGGATGATTCTTGCCAAGATAGCCTCAGTTGCCGAATGTTGTGCCAACAGATTGTACGAGGAAGTTATTCCCAGGATGAGAAAACTCACATTTCCTGCATGTTTTCATAGGTTTTTAGTTCAGTTCAGAAGATTTACCACTGTACGTAACAGAGAAATGAATGACATCAGCACTTATGGTTCTTTTTCCATTTTGCTCTCAAGATGGCAGCATATTCCGTTCCTATGGCCTGTGAAACCTAAAACAGTGAAGAAGAAAAAGCCCAGACAAATGAGATAGATTACTACCAGCAGTAGCACCCATACTCAGAAGAATCAGTGACAAAACCAACCAAATAAAAAAAACCTGTAGTAATTTTTTATAGCAATAGCAGCAATAGCAGTAGACTTATATACCGCTTCATAGGCCTTTCAGGCCTCTCTAAGCGGTTTACAGAGAGTCAGCATATTGCC